AGTGGAAGCCTAGATGCTGATTGGTTAGTTACCGTCCTTATTCCTTCACCCTTTCCTTACAGCTCTTAGACTAGGCTCCTGACCTTGCTGGTTATCAGTGGCAGTGGATATTCTTGACACCTAATCCTTTTGCCTTTAATGCTGCTTCTGGAACTGGAGGAGAAACCAATCAGGAAGACTTCAAAGTGAAGCTGGAAGGCGGGGCGGCTCTGGGAGCTGCCTCCAAATACAGTGGGCTCCCCCAGGAGGAAACTAGCTCTTTCTATGATTGATAGTGGGGACAGGGAGAACACAGCCAGGGTCCTCACTCTAGAATCCATTTTCTCACCAAATTCTCAGGCTTCCCCCTTACCTTCCCTCCTACTTCTTTAACTCCCGCTACATCTTCCGTTGCTACTGTCACCTCTCAGAAGACTGACTTCCCTGAGAGTCCCTATCCTCATCCCGTGCCAGCCGGGGCCTATTCCAACAGCCTTCTAAAAGTGCCAGCCCATCCATAAACACCAGGTAAAATAATAAAGGCTTTGTCTCTTCACCCATGTTCTCGTCACTGGTGTTGTGGAAGTGTGTTTACGGAGGCTGTGTGAGAGCGAAGAGGAGGGGCTCTGCCTTCAGCCGCCTCTGCCCAGAACAGGGACCCAGCTATGCCTGTGTTCTGCCCTCTCTGTTCCTGGGTGGCTTTAGAACCCTTGAGGAACAAGCACGCCCAACCCCCTGAGCTTGAAGGGATGTTGTTAGGCAACCAGGAAATGTGGTTGTCATTAAGAGATGGGCTGGGTATCGAGACTGCATGATTGGCAGATAAGAGCAGAGGGCACACACCAACATTTAGATGGAATAGCTTGGAAAACAAGATGCCACCATCCCAATGTTGGGTGTGGCGAGGTTTTAAGATGGGGGTTTTGAGTCCTTTTCTGGGGTAGGAAGGGCTTCTGTAGCCCCCTGTGTTTTGTGTGTGTGGGTAGTCTCTCCTCACCGCTGTAAGTGGAGAGGCATCCTATGGAGGAACAGTAGAGGTGACCCGCTGCAGCCTCAGTCCTGGGGATGGAATCAAGTCCCAATTATCAGTGTTCTTCCACTATGTCAGTCAGCAGCCACAGCTTTCTGTGCAAAGTGTGCAGGAAGCCGGAGGATGAGGCAGTGGGGAACAGCTTAGCAAGGCTGTGCAGAAATGGAGCACCAACATTTCGTCCACACCCATGCTCCTACCTACTTGCCCTCTGATTTATTATTCAGCCTCCTCTCTCCCAAAGCCAGAGTTCCTCTTCGAGCTCATGTCTGCTCTCTGACCTGGAATCTCACTGCAAACAAACGGGACATCACTCACTGAGGAGGCCTCTTACTTCCTCCTACCCCAGGCCCAGTCTCCTGAGACCCCACCCCACCCCATCCCTTCCTACTCTGGCCCACTCCCGCCCTCCCTTGATCACTCAATCTGACCCTCACTCTCACTGTTCTTCCCCCCCCCCCCCCCCCCCCCCCCCGCACTCCACCCAGCCTTGTCCCTCCCTGACTCACCTCAGGTCCCATTGTCACAAACAAAAATTTCAGCATAAGCCTCTCCAACCGGTTTGGCTAAGGTGTGCAGCCTTCCATGGGGACTGAGACCAGTTGAAGTTGCTTGGACACACGCAGGTAATATCCACATGGATATGGACAGAGGCAGGCCCGTGTATATTAGCAACACACAGAGACACGCAAAGGAAACGTGATGGTAAGGTGTCATGTGTTGGAGATATATGTGTCTGTCCTCTCCTGACCAAGGGGCCCTTGAGGGCAGGGATCATATGTCCTATGTCTTTGTCACCTCCCTTGAGCCTGACACTTAAGCGTCTGTTGATTGAATGTGCACTTGCAGTCATGCCCTGTGATGCTGCTCAGACGAATGCATGTGCTAAGGATGCCATCTATCATGGCTTGAATTGTCCCCATTCTTCGAGCTCAGAATGCAGGTGGGAGGAGGGTAGGTAGTGAGGCATGAGGGGAATGGGGAGTCAGTGTTGAAAGAATTGGGCTCTGAATGTAGGCACTGGTCCTGAAAGGTTTTCATAACCATTATTTTAGTATATAGTCCCTGACCTGCAATATGGCTTCCCTAGGACTTATCTCAGAAGAGGATAGAAAAGGCCTGAATATAAAGCATATTTCTCAGGAGTGTGGTCCACGTGAAACATTATAGGACTAAGGGAGAGAGGACTTGAAGATAAATATTTGTTAGATGAGGAAAGAAAAATCCCAGCTAAAGGCATGGATGGCCACCTTATTCTCTCTGCCCGTGGCACTTGCAGCCCCCAGTTTAAGGTTGTTTACTAGGGCCTGACCATATCCACGAAGATGGGGTGTTCATTACCTTAATACTGCCTCAGAGAAGTCCTATTCCCCTTTAGTGATTTAGGGTCCCAGCCTCCAGGGGCTCAGAGATACTCTGGCTGGTAGCCCTCTGAGGGGAAGAGTATATTGTGAATAGATCCACCCCAGCGGACTGGATACTCACTTTGTGGTCTAGCTGCTTTCCCACCCCCATGCCTCAGTTTCTCCCGTGATTTCCTGTACCTAGAGGGATGAATCCGTGGGAAGGAAAGAGCTCCTCTGACAGCATGTGATAGGATCCAAAGTGTGATAATTATAATTATAACACAGGATGCTCCCCCTCCCATCCCCCTGGCCCTACCCCACCCCTGCCACACTGGATCTCAAAGGAGCATCGGGGTGGGGCTGTTCCCCTGGCATAGGCGGGGACCTGGGTCCTGAAGAGGGGAAGGGGTTTGCCAAGGCGGAGGTGGAGAGAAATTAAGGAGATTTGGCATCCAGCCTGACCCTTAAATCTGCCTCTGACCCGCAGGAAATAGCCCTTGAGGAAGAGGCCACTATCCTAATCACTGCTGAGAGGTAGGGTCCAGAGAGGGGTCTACTCTATGGCGTTAGAGCCTAGATTGCAACCCAGGTTCAGGATGGGAACATGATTATTCGAGATCTCTGCCTGCTGACCCTCCGTCACCATCTTCTCCGGACTGACACTGGTTGATTTAGACATGCAGGCCTTCCTAAAACAAATGCACTCACTCCCCACTGGGGTTGTGAGCTGCCCTAGCATGGCTGACTGGGCAAAAGTATAAAACGAGCCCGACCTTTAAGTACTTCACAGAGGGCAGCTGCCATCCTTTCCCTCGGTTTAACGAGTTTACTGTTAAATCTCGGGCATGCAACAGGCCTCAATCAATGGCTCTTGAATTAAAGCTTACAATTTAGTTAAGGAGATAAGATGTGCACAAATTATGAGTGCACAAGCTATAATAAAGAGACTGGCAAGGACCGAGGAAGACGAGAAGAAAGGTGGGAGGAGCCGAGAAAGCTTCAAGGGAGATATGGCCTTTGAGGTCAGTTTTGAGAGATGAGCAAGACTGACAGGTAAGGGAACTGAGGAAGTGGCTTGGTGGTAGAGAGCTTAGCTTGTATGCACAAAGCGCTGGTCCTAAGCCTCCACCTAAAAAACAAACAAGAAAACGAGAACTGGTAGAGTTGGGGAAAATCTCCTACATTAATAACCTCCCCCGTTATTGATACTTCTTTCTTCTTTTCTATGCTTCTGGACACGAGAACTGTGTAACCTCTCTATTCTCTTCCCCTGGGTTTATTTCTACATGCATATGTCTTTTTAAAGTTATTATTATTATTATTTGAGGTAGAGCCTCATATAGCCCAGGATAGCCCAGAACTCTGTGTAGTCAAAACTGCCTTCACCTCCCAAGGGCTGGGCCTGTGGAGATGCACCAGCATGTCTGGCTTTTACCTGTCTGTGAAATTCCAGTCTGCCAGCGATCCCGCCTCCCTCTTTCAGGGGATAGATATGTACCCCTTCTTCCGGCTCTCTAGCTGTCCCTTGGTTACTTTTATTCACCCAAATTGGAAATATGTGATCAGATGAGCATAAGAGTTACAGGGGTACAAGGATAGAGTGAAATCCTCGCCAAGTCCAGACACATGTCCATGGGGGGGCACACCATAGAGAACGAGGAAAGCCCCCCCTGTTTGGGTTGCACTGATGCACTTTTAAAACTCCTGCCATGGGTTAAGTTGTTGAGCGAAGGTTCTGAGAGGAAAAGCAGGAATTCACAGGGCTAATCCCCTGGTCAGCCCCTCTTCCTCTCCCATGCAGGGGTGGGCTAGAGGAAAGCAGTGAAGTTATTTCTCAGAGGGTTCTCTGAACTAACTTTCTGCTTCCAGAAAATCACTAGACTAACTTGACTGTCCTCTAGCAAGTCCATCCTCCTATTTAGGCCTTCTGAAGCATGAGGTAGATGGGCCAGCGGGCCAGGGACCTCCTCAGTTCTCTGATTCTGTGGCACCAAAAGTGAATCCTTCAGGAGTTTGAGGAACTTGTCAGGGACCCCAGGAAACAGCTGACCTGGCTGTCATATGAAAGGGTTGGGTGCTTTTTCAGACACATCTGGTGCTTCCGTCTTTAAGACACCCAGGCCTCCTTGTTCCACGCCCCCTGCTAGAGGCTCACCACCACCCTCACGCTGCTGTCCATGGCCTCACAGGTAAAGCCCCTGTTACTGATGAGATCCCACTGCCCGCACCCAGATTCGTCCCTTCTTCCCTCCCTCCTTGGCGCCCATTAGCTAGCCCAGGCCGTGGGGGCGGTGGCTGCGGAGTCTCCTCTCTGTGCCAGGCCCGGCCCCCAGAGACGCACCTGTTCTGACCTGCTTAGCAGGTTCCCAGGTTTCTGCCTTCGTTGTTGGCCACGGCGTGGGAAGCAGCTCTGGGGGAGCTCAGGGCTCCCGATCACGGCTTCTTGGGGGTAGCCACGGCTGGGTGGGTAGAACTGGGGCCTGGGTCCCCTAGTGGAGACCCAAGTGGGATAGGCAGGCACGTTAGTGCCTGGGGACTCCGTGACTTCCTGCCTTCTGGGTCAGAGCTTTACACAGCTCCAGAACCGGCTCCCAGGGAGAACTCCGTGGAACTCAGAATCACTGGCCAGGTCTGACTTTCAGCCAATGCCCCTGTCCCTGGGAGCCGAGATGTGGGGCCTTGAAGCCTGGCTGCTGCTGTTGTTCCTGGCATCGTTTACAGGTAGGACTTGCCTGAACCGTCAGGACTCTTGCTTCTGAGCTCTACCTGGCAGAGACAGGCACACACACACACACACACACACACACACACACACACACACACACAGACAGACTTACACACGAATGTACCACATACCCAAACATTCCCTTTCCTTGGACTCCGGATGGAGAAGACAATCTCTCTCTCCTGTTCATTCCACTTGCCATCAGTGCCCTCAAAAGAACCAATGTAGCTCTTTCTTCTCAAGTCTCCTCTCTGTCCCAAGACCAAGCCACTTAATGTCTGCAGTCCCTAACTACCTCTGCTAAAGCCTTGCTTGCCAAGGCCTTTGTAGATACACACACGCACACGCACACATGCACACACACACATACGCACACAGGGCAGGTGGGCTGAAAGGTGGACTCCGAGAACCCTGCTTACCCCAGGGCTTCCTGAAGGCTTTGTGGCCTACCCACTGGGCTTCAGACCTGCCTCAGCATTCACCAGGAGCAGGAAACCTGGTGTCTGGGGAGTGGAGGGGCATTTCTGTCTCCTTCTCCTCTCATAGTAATATTCTGAGCGCAGGATTGGGGTGCTCATTGTGGGATTACAGGAAAGCCATGAAACGCCTCTCACCCTAGCGCCTCTCCCTCCCTGGCACACACTAGTAGGTGGAGAATAATGGTGTGTGTTTCTTACACAATGGGGGGATGTTAAAGGGTAAAGGGTCTTCTAGATGAGATGCGGTCCACTTTTATTCATTTATTATCTTTCCATTTCCTCTGTTGAATGCCTATACAATACTTAGACTTTCTGCTTGCCTAATATAGCCAGAACATACATAAAACATCAGAATGTATCATTGTCAGAGCGAGAGGGACAGAATATGTGTGCAAGGAGACCAAAGTAGGATGCTATTGGCTGTTGCTGGGGAAGGAATAGCTAAGAGCTCTTTTTCCTCAGAAAGACAGGGCCTTGTCTGCAGAGGACAGTAGGGTCCTCAGCTCAAGAAACAGAAGCAGGGACTATCAGTTGTCCAGCAGCACTTGGTGACTCTCTCCCCACCTCCATTCTCAGTTGAAGCACACACACACAAGGCATAGATGGAGAACAAGGCATAGATGCCTGGATTGGAAGGCTTGAGGTTGCCCTCACTCTGGTCTTGTAACAGAAGGGTCAGTGGGTCACTCTCCAGTATCAGAACGCTAAGCTCCAACCTCTGCCATCTGCCCTTACCCTCAGCCCCTGCCCTTAATTTCCATTTTCCAGATAGCCCTTTTCCCTGGGTTAAGCCAAGAGGGTGGGGCCTCCTGCTGGGCCAGGGAACCCAACTGACACTTTCCTGGGGAATCTACCTACCCCTGAGGAATGGAGTCATGCTGTCTCAGGACTTGGGTAGGATCAAAGAGATCACTACTCCAACTCCTTCATTTTAAAGATGGGAAAACCAAGAGAAACAGATGGGCAGGTGAGATCTGCAAGATTACTCAGTGTAAAAAGCAGAACCAGGGTTAGGGCCTTGGTCACCCAACTCCTTGTTAAAAAAAAGAAAAAAACCAGGATAGTTGAGAGCATGCGGTACTAGAGGCTGGCTACTAGATACTAGATACAGTGGTAAGGGTAGTACCCCCGCCTTCCTTCTTCATGAGGCAAAGCTGATCTTTCTAGTAGAAGCCCAGAGAAGAGGGAGAGAACTCCTGGCTAGAAGATTGCCCCAGACTTCACCCAGGTCTGGGAGAAGCTAAGCTGAGGAGAAAGGCTGGCTCCAGGATAGCCCAGGAGGCTAGTAGCTAATCGGATGTCACTGAACTTCTGCTGCCATGACCTGCGCAGAGATGAAGCCTGTTCCCAGGAATCCCTGGAAGCTCGCACTATGGGGCCACAGCCCAAGGACTAGAGAGTCCCATCCCCTTCATTTTGGCTCCCTTGTGTGTATGTGTAGGCATCTTGTTCATGGCCCTAGGAACCTAGACTCATTTTATATCTCTGAACACCCCTCAGATTTGGAAATCAAGAGCCTTGAGTTCTGATCCCATTTCTTCCATTAATTTGTTAGGTATTTTTGAACAGCTGAGAGACTGCATCAGGAGACCGAGAAGGACTGGAGGGTCTCTGCAGACCTTTTGACTCTGAAATACTAGGCTTCTGTGATTGGTTGTCCAGCTCCTGGCTTGAAGTGTTGTGGTGGCTGAAGAATTGATCAGTCTCCCTGTGGCTGAGAGGACCCTTCCCAAGGACACAGCCTTCCTGGCCCAATTGCAAAGTGACACCTGCCCCCCAACTCCAGGACCATTAGAGCACTGAGCCCTAGGGCCCTGCCCCACCCCTGACAGGGAGAGGAGCCCAGGCTTGGGAGGCGCCTCCAACACCACAGCTCTTTGTTTCTCCTTAATGGGATGAGTTTCCGGGTGAGGTCCCATCCCTCCTCCCTCCCCCATCTCTTGCCCTGGGGCTGAGGGGCCTGAGTCTGCAAACTGTTTTCCTATAGGTTCCCAGTTTCTAACTCTTTGAGTCTTGCGGGGCCCTGGGAGTAAGCTGGTCCATGAATTCTAAATTCTGTCTTCTGATGGTTAGGATCAACTTTCTGTTGAGATTAATTTCCTAGAAAGGGAGGGGCCCCATCCCTGCTTTTCTGCTCCCGTTGACAGAGGTGGGCAGGCCCTTTCCTGTGGGGCCTACCCAAACCCAGAGAAGCCAGAAAGGGAGGTTTGCTTCCCGCCCAAGTGTGGAGAACCAGGAGAATCCCAGGGAAGCCCTTGGCCCCAGTGACCCTGGTTCCATCCTAGCATTTTGTATTGATGCAGCGGGTGGGGGGGTGGGGGGGGTGGGAGGGTGGAGAGACCCCCAGCTACAGAGATAGCAGTGATAAGGTTAATGTGCACAGTCCCATCTTCTAGAGTATAGCCTCAGACTCCAGGGGTCCTGGGGCCACTGAGGAGAGCAAGTCCTGTAGGGAGAGAATGCCTGTAGAATCTGGACTCCAAATCTTCAAAAGACTCGACAAAGAAGGGATGGAAATGAAAAGTGGCAAATTAAGTCAGGAGCACAGAGAGCAGAGGAACTTTGGGGTCCAGATCTGGAAACAGAATCTAAAGCAATTAAGTTTTAAATGGGAGGTACCCACCTGTTTTCTGGAGGAGAATGGGGGTACCATACCCTATCCTTTCACTGGAACAGGAGCCAACAGGGTGCCTGGGACTGAGGACCTGTTCCCATGGCTTTCTGTACCACCCCCACCCCCAACACGTCTCTCTAAAACTGTTCTGAAAGCTAAGGTTAGGGCTGTGATGTGGAATGAAGCTGGCTAGACACAATGGGAGAAGGGATGGGCAGAATTTGGGTGTTGGTGGGGAGGCTAGATCTCAGGGGTTTGAGAGAAGTTGAATTCTAGGTCTCCCACCCACCCACAGCGGTGACTCAGCAGGGCTCAGACTCTGGCTCCTGGGGGGTTTAGGGGACTTATCTGTGCTGAGAGCTGTGTCTAAGGCAGAGCCGCCTGCCTCATGAACTGTCCGTCCTCCCCATTGTTCCTCTTTCCCTCTGTTACTTACGTGGCCCCCCTCCCTAGACACTAATCTGTGGGTGGGCGCTTTGCCCAGCTTGGGAAGCTCTTGTTAAGCTGGGGGGCTTAGGAAAAATGAGGGGTATGTAAGGGAGGTGGGTGAAGGTGGAGGGAAAGTTTTTGGTTTTCAAAGTCCCTCGATTCCAAGGCCAAGGTTACGGGCAGAGGAAAGTCCAAAATAACCATTTGCTTTGTCTGTGTCACCTGTCCTGGGTGGACGGGGACTAGAAGCTTCCCTCTCATGTCTTCTCTTACCTCTAACACACCTACGCCAGCCTTCTCTGGTGAAGCAGTGAAGGGAGGGAGGCAAGAGTTAACAAAAAATATGAGACCCTAGACAGCCTGGACCCCTCCCCCTAGCCCCAGGCAATCCCCCCCCCCCCCCCCCCAGCTGCTTCCCACCGAACCTGCATCAGACAGTTCTTACCCCAGGCCTGGAGCCAGAGCTGGTTTTTCTGGTGGTAGCAAGTAGCAAAGCCCTGACAGAGATTCCCAGGGAAGAATCTCTGCTTGGGGGGTCAGAGTCCTGAGGGGGCCCAGGGGTGTGGCCATAGGGGGTAAAAAGGGTGGGAGTCTCTTTGTAGGAACCCAAAGAGAAAAAGAGAGAGAGCCTTTGTTTTGTTTGTCAGGGAGGTTCGGTGGCAATTTCCCATCACCTGGAGGGACAGTGACCTCATCTCTGATTACCTCCACCTTTAGCCTGAGATGAATCTGCCCTGAAGTCTTGGGGTGAGATGGAGAGGGAAGCCAGGGGCAACATTAGAACGGGCAGAAGCCCAGAGCTACACGCTGACCAAATGCAGCTGAGCCAGACGTGCGGAAGCCAAGATAAACGCCATCAAAATATTTACTGTGTGTGTGGAGTTCCGTAGTAGGGTGATGTGGACTGTGTGTTCAGAGGGTGAGATGTATATGTCATGGTGCGTGCGTATATGTTCATATGCTAACACATAGCTCTTCCCTCTGGGTACAGAAAATTTAGGATGTAGATTTCCCCGAAGAGAGCTGTGAACACATATATTATGTATGAAACACCCCAGGTTCTTGCAAGGAAATAGTTTCACATTCATACGAACTAGAAAAACTGGCCTAGCCCTCATCCAAAGATTCAGACACAAAAGACTAGACAGTTATTACCTTTGTCACACAGACACACCTCAAGGACCCCAATGTGTGTACATCCTCTTATGCACCAATAGAAGACAATGATGGATAAAAGTCCCTCAAAAAAAAAAATCTCATTCTCAAACACATTGCTAAGGTTGGGTATCTGCAACTGCCAGCCTCAGTTTCCCCTTTTGAGCTTAAAGGCCAAGACTTACACAGAAAGGAAAGTAGGAGCCAAGGGAACAGAGTAGGGTGTAGCCAGCTAGCCCAAGCCAGGAATGAAGGACCTGTCTGGGAGCGGGCGGGGTACACAAAAGGCAGGGCCCCAAAGAGGCCTGAGGGGGCCTGGCCAGGGGTGGGGGAGGCTGAGGGCAGGGATCCCGTCTGGCCAGTTGGGCCTGTTCTCTCCCTTGCGCAAGGTGGTGGTGGCTGTGGCTAGGCCTGCTGCTCTGTGGCAGCTTCTGAGTCACTAAGGCTCCTGACCAGCGTCCTGGTGCTCCTTGAGAGGAGGGGTGGGGAGAGTCAGGAGGAGGAGTGCCCAGGAAGCTAGAGGCCACCAGCCTCAGCAAACTACACACACAGCAGTAGAAGGGTCTGTGGGCTTGACCTGGCCTGGCTACTGCATGCCCATAAGGTGACCTCACCAGGCAGGCGGTGTGTCTCCTTCAGCCTGGTGACATCATCATGCTGACGCCAGGCAGGCAGTGGGTGGGGGAGAGGAGGAGACAATCCTGGCTTGCCCTGGCTTGGAAGCCTGGGTTCTTGGGTCCATTTAGCTCAGGACAAGGATCCTTGGCCCCAACTTCTCTTAACTCATCTCTTTTGATTTAGAAGATGAACTGAAGGCCATTGGAAGTGGGGATGCCTCAGCCTAAGATACTTCCACTAAATAGCGGCTTTAGGACAGTGTGGGTTTTGTAGGAGCAATTCCAAAGGAACTTTCCTGTCCCATTAGGTACCTCAGTCTGCAAAACTGGGGCTTGTACCTTCAGGATGAGGATTTCGGACTCACAGGTTAGGGACATTATGGATGGAGACGCAGGCATGTGATGGGTACCCAATTCTTACTGTGCTTTAAGGAGGTATCTTGGGGGACAGAATATGGATGACTTGTAGTGGGGGTAGGGGCCAGTGTAAGGGCTTGAGAGATGATGGTTAAGAGCACTTGTTCTTGCAGAGAACCTGGGTTCAATTCCCAGGACCCACATGGCAGTGACCAGCCACCTGTAACTCCAATTCCAAGACATCAGATGCTCTCTGCTAACCTACATGGCCACCAGGCATATAGTATACATATATGCAAGCAAAACATTCATACACATACAAAAATAAATAAGTAAGTAAAAATTTAACGATGGAAATATGGGATCTGCCAATGTCACAGAAATGTCTTTGGAAGGATTTCTATCTCCTGGTGGGCAGGACTTGGGGTCCCTGTGACATGCATCCACATTATTGTGACTTAAATCTACATCAGTGTTTTGCAGCAGAGTGAGCTGAGAGCCCATATTGCACCCCACCGCCAGGCTTTTTTGACAACCTTACTCCCTTTAGTGCTAGGAGGAGGTACCTGGGAGGGGTGCAAGCTGGACTCCCAGGCTGGGCTGGGTGGGACCCATGTCAGCTTAGGCAGGTCAGGGCCCTGGTATCTGGCCCTGCAGGTCTGTCCCGTCCAGTCTGGGGCCCTCCCAACTCCCAGCAGCAGCATCCTTCCCTCCACCCCTCCTATCAGGGCCACAAGACCCATTCATCTGTCTCCCTGGAACCCTCTGCCCTACCCCATGCTTCATTTCCTCACTACATGCCTGCCTGTCTCCATCGCCTTCGTCCTTTGTCTGGTCCAGAGTTGCTCGCTCTGGCAGTGAACCCAGACAGCCAGTTTATCTTACCCCCGCCCCAAGGTTGCCATGCCAACACTTTCCCTGCCTCATCCAAATAAGGGACTGTGCCTTCCTCTTGGTTCTACTTTCTTTCTGCTGCCTCTTTCAAGCATCTGCTCACTCATTTGTATATTCTTTTTGTTTTTGATTTTTGTGGGGATTGAGACATTGTTTCCCTTTTGCTTGGGATGATGGCCTTGAACCCAAGATCTTCTTGCCTGAGCTTCCCCAAGTGTTGGGATAAGAGGTATGGGCTACCAAGCCTGGCTTTGTTCACTCATTCATTGATTCACTCAGTCAATAAACATTCATCAGCGTCCAGTTATGTGACAGGAAGGAGACCACATACCACTGACTGAGCATGAAATCAGAAACCATGTTTTTAATATGTGATACATGACCCTGTTTCGACTCTTTTGAAGCTCAATGCCTTGGGGAAGGAGAACACGAAAACAGAAAGTCTGATCTATAGGTTAAAGCGCTATGATTGAGGCTAAAGCAGAGGGGCAGGGCACTCGAAGCGGCTTGAGGTGGGGGAAGGGAGGGAGGACTCAAGAGGAAATGATGTCTAAGCAGAGTCTTAAGGCGTGAGTAGGTGTTCTCCAGACAGCGATGAGTAGGAGCAACCAGACACAGGGAGGAGAGCATTCCAGGCAGGGGTACAGTGTGAGCAAAGGTGACAGACAGCAGGGTGTGGGGGGGTACTGGTTAGAGGCAGGGATTATCAAAAGTTGGATGCTCTAAGTGGAAGCTCTGGCCATCCCAGAACACTCTTCTGCCCTGGCCCGGCCCCTGACCCTGGGTTTTGTTTATTTATTTACTTATTTTATAACCATAGGCATTCCCAGGCCCAACCTTCTTTATAAGCTACTCATTCTAGATAACCAGTTATCTTTTCCTGTTCCCCACCTCTCTCTAGTCAGTGACCAAATCCCCACCAAATGCCCCCTTTTATCTGCCCAGTACCACCTTGCCAGGCTACGGCCTCATGGTATCTGCCTCGGTCTCTTTCCATGACCTGTTTTCTGGTCAGACTATATGTTGTCACCTGCTTCATGCAACTTGCTAGCTAGGGAAGCTTTGGTGACTTTCCACTTCCTACTGACCAAATTTGAATTCCTTTTCCTGGCATGGGTAGTCCTGAGCTATTCGGACCCACCCTACCCCAGCTATGGTTTCCCTGCTGCTCAACACACACACCCCCTTAGGTTGGGTCCTCTTCTCTTTGCTTCCTGAACCAGCAACCAGCCTTTCTACTTCCTTAGGTGTTTGCTTACTTGATCCTCTATTATCAATGCCTTTCGAGGTCTCCCGGGCCTCCTGATCCCACTCAACTCACTCATGAAGCCTTCCCTATGACTCCCACATGCCTCAAACAACCTAGGACCCAGACACGAAACACTAAACCAGAAACCACCATTGCAAGTCAGGTGGGGTGATGGGGTGGTGTATCCAGTAATCTAAGCACTCCAGAGGCTGGGGTGGGAGAACAGTGAGTCTGAAGCCAGCCTGACAGGTTACATAATTAGTCCTTTTTTTTTTTTTTTTTTTTTTTGGTTTTTTCGAGACAGGGTTTCTCTGTAGTTTTGGAGCCTGTCCTGGAACTAGCTCTTGTAGACCAGACTGGCCTCGAACTCCCAGAGATCCGCCTGCCTCTGCCTCCCAAGTGCTGAGATTAAAGGCGTGAGCCACCATCGCCCGGCAGTTAGACTGTCTTAAAAAGAAAGAGGAAGAGGAGGAGAGTGGAAAGAGGAGAAAGAAAAAAAAATTATCATTGCATGATTCAATGCCTGTCTGTTAGTAGCTAGATGATAGATAGATAGATAGATAGATAGATGATAGATAGATGACAGATGGATGGGTGGATGGATGCATGGATGTCTATCATTTGTATTTCTTCCTCCTAAACAGACCTCGAGTTCCATGAGGGCAGGAAATGGATCTTTACTTGCCAGTAAGGTTATATAATGGACTTATCTAAATTCAAAATTTCCAAATGCTTCCTACAGCTGCTCATCAATTACCAAAGCACTAGTCCTTCATCCCTGGTCCTCTGATTCTGGCTCAACATTCTGACAATTGCCGTGTACCTGCCCTGACCTCATCTCTCCAGGCCCCTGACCTAGGGGCCCTTTTTGTCTTCAGTGACTTGCTGCTTCCTGCTCCTAAGCCTGTTCATGCCATTCCTCCTACATGGAAGACCTCCTTCTCTCTGGGAATCCAGGACTCTCATCTTCAAGCCATGGGAAAAAGCGTTCCCAAGGGCCTTATCCTTCCAAAATGGCCCATCCCAAGCCCCAAACATTCTGAACATTTTCAACCGCTCTTCACCATTCCTTCCAAAAGCACTGGCTTTTACTTTTACCCCACTTTGTAGACTGTGCCTCCTGTGAAATTTGTCCTTGGTTTCCTGTTTCTCTGGGCAGAGATTCCATTTCCTGGAAGGCTGTGAGCTCTGTGAGGGGCAGAAGCTAGGTCTCTGGACCTGTTATAGTTTCTTTGTTCAAATAGAATTCTAGACGGCAACAGGGTGAGTCTTCCATAAATCATCTGCGTGGCCTTAGGGAAGCCACTTCCCTCTGGGTCTCAGTTTCCTCCTCTGTTAAATGGTGATAATAACGCCTACCCTCTTGGGAATGTTGAGTGGATCTAATGAGGTAATGGCTAGAATGCGCTTTGCAAGCATAAATTGCTCCTGGAGTTCCGGCTGCCTTTGCTGTCATTATCATTTTGATTGCGTTCCTTTGGTTCTGGCACCCTCCCCGCCCCCCCCCCCCCCCCACTCTGACTTACTGTCTACCCCCTGCAGGCCGATGCCCGGCGGGTGAGCTGGAGACCTCGGACTTAGTGACGGTGGTGCTGGGCCAGGACGCAAAATTGCCCTGCTTCTACCGAGGGGATCCTGACGAGCAGGTGGGGCAAGTGGCGTGGGCTCGGGTGGACCCAAACGAGGGCACCCGGGAGCTGGCCCTACTGCACTCCAAATATGGGCTTCATGTGAGCCCCGCCTATGAGGACCGCGTGGAGCAACCACCGCCCCCACGAGACCCTCTGGACGGCTCCGTGCTCCTGCGCAACGCTGTGCAAGCAGATGAGGGCGAGTACGAGTGCAGAGTCAGCACTTTCCCCGCCGGCAGCTTCCAGGCACGGATGCGGCTCCGCGTTCTGGGTTAGTAGAGCCAGCTGGGCACAATCAGAATTCGTGGGTGTATGGAGGGGAACGGAGACAGGACGGGACTGCAGAGATGGATGGGGCAGAGGCAGAACAGGCAAACATAAAAGATAAGGCCATGTAGGGGTGAGGGAGGAATACCCAGTCCCTCCCACCCAATCCATAAATTCTCTCCAAAAGCCGCCAAAGCTGGGGAATAATACATATTTTAGGGAGCTTGTCCTTCCCACGGTCCGAATTTCACTCTGTGCACCTTTGTCCTTCTGGAACATGGGCTTATTCTTTCGAATAGCTTTTCAGAGAGCTGAGAACTTCTGGCAGACTCCACTTAAACGCCCTCGTTTCCAAGTTGCACTTACTGATTCTAGAAAAGACACCAATGCACCAATGCAAAGCTTTCTTCACTACCCTAGGCGCTGCGGTTTTACAATGTGAGAGTCACAGATGTGAACATGACGCCCAGCTGTGATGTGATATGTGAGCAGGGGAGCGGTTAATAGGTTAATACGCTCCTTGATTGGGACTTCAATGGACGTGATCTAAGACCACGATCACGTTTATCTATCTGTCTGTCTGTCTGTCTGTCCGTCCTTCCGTCCATCCATCTATTGGTTTTTCGAGGCAGGATTTCCTCTGTGCAGCTTTGGAGCCTGTCCTGGAACTCTCTTTGTAGACCAGGCTGGCCTTGAACGCACAGAGAGTACTGGGATTAAAGGCGTGTGCCACCACCGTCTGGCTCACAATTGCATTCTAAACCACTGCTTTGCATTATGGACAGTGGTGCTGGTCAACCTGTTCCTATGGTCAAGGTGTCTTTTCAATTTTGTGGTTGGGCTATTTTGAAGCTAGAATTTTTTTTAAAAAAAAAGTGCTTTGGGTTATTTTGAAGTTAGAAATAAAAAGCCTTCATGTTTTTGCTTTGGATGGAAGTTAGTAGCCTAAGTCTTGGAGGGGAAAAAAAAAACAAAACTTGAATGAAAAAAAAAAAAAAGCTGGGCATAGTGATAAATATCTATACTTACACTGCTCCAGAAGCTGAGTCAGGAGAATGGAGAATCTGAGGCCAACACACACCCCAAAACAAAATCTGTGACTCTAGGCTTTGTCACTTAAGAGCTGAGGACCTGGAGCAAATCCCTAACCCTCCTTGAGCTTTGGTTTCTCATCTGAAGAGCAAAGCATAATAATACCACCTCACTAGTGTGTTAGCAGAATCAAATGAGATAATGCATGAAAGCATTTAGCCTAATAGTCGACACATGGTAAGCAGTGGTTATTATTTTTATTATTACATAGATAGTATCTAATTAGTTCTAAAATAATTTTATTTTTTTAAAAAAAATAACCTATGCACGTTGTAAAAAATTCTAATAGCGAAGAAAGATGTAAAGACACTTGAAATTACACCACTGATCTGGCACTTTTCTTAGTAAGATAAGAAAGGGGGACTGGAGCTCGCTTCAGCAGCACAGATACTAAAATTGGAACGATACAGGGAAGATTAGCACGGCCCCTGCACAGGGATGACAAGCAAATTTGTGAAGCGTTCCATATTTTTAAGACAAGATCTCCTGAGTAAACTGGGAGCATGGGACCATGGGAGAGGGTTGGAAGGGAGGGGAGAGGAAGGAAGGGGAGCAGAGAAAAATGTATAGCTCAATAAAATCAATCATTAAAAAAAAGTGGGGCTGGGGCTGGAGAGATGGCTCAGTGGTTAAGAGCACTGGCTGCTCTTCCAGAGGACCTGAGTTCAATTCCCAGCAACCACATGGTGGCTCACAACCATCTGTAATGAGATCTGGCGCCCTCCTCTGGCTTACATGTAGGCAGAGTGTTGTATACATAATAAATAAATAAATCTTTAAAAAAAAAAAAAGTGGGGCTGGAGTTTGCAGCTGGGTAGGACTGAGAGAGGCCTCCTGACAGCGGATCTTCCATACACTCCTCTCCCCATCCACAGTGCCTCCCCTGCCTTCACTGAATCCTGGTCCACCACTAGAAGAGGGCCAGGGCCTGACGCTGGCAGCCTCTTGCACTGCCGAGGGCAGCCCAGCTCCCACCGTGACCTGGGACACAGAAGTCAAAGGTACTCAGGCCAGCCGCTCCTTCAAGCACTCCCGCTCAGCTGCCGTCACGTCAGAGTTCCACCTGGTGCCTAGCCGAAGCATGAATGGGCAGCCACTTACCTGTGTGGTGTCTCACCCTGGCCTGCTCCAGGACCAGAGAATCACCCACACCCTCCAAGTGGCCTGTGAGTATTGGGATAGATGGGTAAGATAACCTATGTTCTGAAAATAGTGCTAGGACCCTGTGACCCTGAACCACGCCAGGAGGGTCAGCCTGAGAACAGAAGACTTGGGGGCCAACCTAGATGCCCTGGGAAAACCACTGTGGTCTCTGTGAACTATATTTCAAGTGCTGGGATTAAAGGCAAGCCCCACTGCCGCCTGGTGTCTCTGTGAACTTTGTAGAAGAGACTGCCTTATTTTCTTTTTTTTTTTTAATTTTTTATGATTTATTTATCTTTATTTTATGTGCATTGGTGTGAAGGTGTCAGATCCCCTGGAACTGGATTTTCAGACAGTTGTGAGCTGCCATGTGGGTGCTGGGAATTGAACCCGAGTCCTCTAGAAGAGCAGTCAGTGCTCTTAACCGCTGAGCCATTTCTCCAGCCCGAGACTGCCTTATTTTCACAGTGTTGATGGGAGAATAAAATATAAATTTGATACTGAAGGTATTTGCATAATATACAGTTTTAGAGTTTGGAGGCAGACTTGGAACAAGCCGCCGTTCCGCTATTTACCAATAGTTATTTAATCTTGTTAGACTTCATTTTATTCACCAGAAAATGAGTGTAATTATACCAACTCTACAGGATTTTGATGAGAATTAGCGTCCTTGAATGCAAAGCATCTCACAGATTTGAAATCCTGTAAGGGTTCAGCAAATGATAGTGTGCTCCCAGCGTTAGACTGCAAGCCCAGATTACACCGCCATTTGGCACGAAGTAGGAAATCAACACACGTCTGTTAGGAAAATGAACAAACTGGCGGATTTTTAGGCCCTTAGTGAGCACCTGCTCGGTGAGTTAGCAGTATGCTAGGTGTCACCGGAGAGTCAGAAAGACTGAAACTCCCTTACTCCTAGGGACGGGCGGGCTTTGCAGCACAGGTCAAACAAAATAAACTCTGAGCTTGGGCGGGGGTGGGGGGGGTGGGGGGGGAGCACGTGACAATGTAGTCAGGAGCTGTGGGTGAGGGGAGAGGGAGGTTGTTCGTGTAGGACAAGAGGGGATTCATGGATTAAAGCATCTTCCTCCTCCCTCTTCCCACTCCAGTCCTTGCAGAGGCCTCTGTGAGGGGCCTTGAGGACCAAAACTTGTGGCATGTTGGCCGAGAAGGAGCTACACTCAAGTGCCTGAGTGAAGGACAGCCCCCTCCCTCATTCAACTGGACGCGGTAAGGGCCTATGCCTGCAGAAAGGCCTAGCATGGGACTAGCATCCTTTTCTTTTCAGGATGAACCCTATATTAGTTAGGGCATATGTTCAGACCAATATAAAAATATGCATAGTCAGCAAATATTACTGGTGCGGTCCAGGGAATGTGTGATTACCCATGGGAATATGTAGATATCTTCTTGGCTTTTCAAAACCCCTTAACTTGGGCTGGAGAGATGGCTCAGCGGTTAAGAGCACTGGCTGCTCTTCCAGAGGTCCTGAGTTCAATTCCCAGCAACCACATGGTGGCTCACAACCATCTGTACTGAGATCTGGCACCCTCCTCTGGCGTGCGGGCATACATGGAGGTAGAATGTTGTATATATAATAAATAAATAAATCTTTAAAAAAAAACCTTAACTTTAAACTATGAACTAAAACTATGGTAGATATGAATATTTTAACTATTTCTGAGTGCTAAAAGTGCAGGAGACAAAAAGACAGCTGGCTATAACTGCTGTTATACCAATGCTCCTTATAACTATCATGTGGCTAGCACCCCAGAAACACCCACCCCCTTCCACCAGCTCCTTCAAGAGCCCTTGTCTTTTCTTCCAAAGAATTACAAAAGGGTAGGATACCCATGTATGTGAGCCTATGATAGACATGTTCTTACATGTGGACATACGAACGATACATGTGGCCTTGTGCCTAGGGCTAGGTTTGTTTTCTCTGCCATGTAATATCATAGGTGTTGGAGCATGCAATCACAGTTTCCAGGTACCTCTGAGGCCAGCTAGGAGTGGAGTGTCCTGTTGTGTGGACTTTGTAACATGTATTCCTGTTACCTGGTGCTAGATGACGTGATGCCTGTGGGAGCATGTGGGATGGCACGCGTGTGGATCTTCCCCAAGTGTGTGTGGGGGTGCCCGGGTCAGGCTGGGCGGCAGGGAGAAAGGGCCTCTGCCTAGACCTGCCTAGGGTAGGGAGGGGCACCGTGGGAACAGCCTGAGGCTCTGGATGACGTCATGGGGGAGGGGGATGAATAGCTGCCTGGGCACGTTGGATGGTGGCAGCCTTAGCCTGCCCCAGCCAGCACCCTTCAGCTTCCCTGTCCTTCAGGCTGGATGGACCTCTGCCTAGCGGGGTGCGAGTGAAGGGGGACACTCTGGGCTTTCCCCCACTGACCACTGAGCACAGTGGCATCTACGTCTGCCATGTCAGCAATGAACTTTCTTCGAGGGACTCTCAGGTCACCGTGGAGGTTCTTGGTAAGCACAGTGGTTGGGGAACAAAGACAGGGAGGCTGAATCAGAGCTGGGGATGGGCAACAAGAAGCAAGACAGAGAAAGAAATGGGAAGGAGTGTCTTTGGGGATGGTAGATGGGGCTAAACTGAGTGGGTAGCTGAGGATGTCTTCTGTGAGGATAATATTTGGGTAGCAATGGGGTCTGGGGTAGATCCAGAAAGGATCTGGGCATGCGCCTCAGACACAGCCTGTCTCCAGCAGACCCTCAAGATTCAGGAAAGCAAGTGGACCTAGTGTCGGCCTCAGTGGTGGTAGTGGGCGTGATTGCTGCATTCTTGTTCTGCCTCCTGGTGGTGGTGGTGGTACTCATGTCCCGGTATCACCGACGGAAAGCACAGCAGATGACCCAGAAATAGTGAGTACTGGCTACATCGAGTGGGTGGAGCCGAGCTGAGACCAAAGACAATGAAGTAGGAGGTGAACCAGAACAGAGGAGAGAGGACACTGGGTAGCCTATGACTGGACAGCTTGTCCACCAGAGATGGGCAAAGCCTTTGGGGAAGTGAGGAAAGCCTGGGGCCTGGACCACAGCTCGATGAGGAGGCATGAGCCTGAGAGAAGCCCAGATCCATATTCTCCGGTGTCATCTACTATGCGTACTTTAGCACTATGTGGCACACATATACTCCAGCTATCGTACACAGGCTCAGCCAGGCTAGATTCGCCGTAGGAGGCTGTCATTGCTCTCAGGTCCTGACAAGGGGTGTCTTTCCCAGTGAGGAGGAACTGACTCTGACCAGGGAGAACTCCATCCGAAGGCTGCATTCTCATCATACAGACCCCAGGAGCCAGGTGTGTGCTAAGGATGGGGCCTGTGTGGGGCGTGGGCACACGGGTTTGCTTGGGTCTGGGCTCCTCTACAGATAGGAACATAGCCCTATACCAGGTCTGGCTGCTTACTCATAGCTGGAGCTGAGCCGAGGCTGGGATATTAGCCGGGGATAGATGCTTTGGGGCTGCTGGGACTCCTCCTTGCAAGGCCCTTTCAGCCCTGGGTTGGGGGCTGCTCTAGGAATCCACCACCAGTGCTGGTTCCAGGGTGGGTTTTTGGGAGTGAGTGTGGGAAGGGGGATGTTTGTGTCAGAGAGACAGAGAACTACGGGTTGGGGGAAAGGTGATCAGGGAGGAGGCTGGTAGAGGATGAGAGAGGTGAAGAGGCTGAGGGGAGGAGGCTGGACTCTCTTCTGACTCCTCCTCCCCTATGTCTGGGCTCCTGCAGCCGGAGGAGAGTGTAGGGCTGAGAGCGGAGGGCCACCCCGATAGTCTCAAGGACAACAGTAGCTGCTCTGTGATGGTGAGGCCCCCGGCCCCACCGGTGTCCCCAACACTCTCCTGGCCCCAGATGTGGTGTGACAGCAGCCCCCTCTACCAGTCCCTGCCTCTCATCCCTGGCTCCCATGTGAGCCCCGCCCCGCATTTCTGCTGTGCCTTCGTTCTCTGTCTCCCCATCCCTATATATAACACCTGCTCTTGCCCTCCCCACCCCCAAATTTCCAAGCCCCATGCCTCCAGGACAGCCATTACCCATGCTTTACCTGACCTCTGACCCCACCACAACCCATCCCTACCCTACTGTGTCTGCCTGTTTGATCTCAACTGCTGACTTATCCTCTGCCCTTGGTCTCCAGAGTGAAGAGCCAGAGGGCCGTAGCTACTCCACGTTGACCACAGTGAGGGAGATTGAAACACAGACTGAACTACTGTCTCCGGGCTCTGGGCGGACAGAAGAGGAGGAGGATCAGGATGAAGGCATCAAACAGGCCATGAACCATTTTGTTCAGGAGAATGGGACCCTGAGGGCCAAACCCACAGGCAATGGCATCTACATCAACGGGCGAGGGCACCTGGTCTGACCCAGGCCAGCCTCCCTCCCTAGGCCTGGTTTCTTCTGCTTCCATGGGGGATTTCAACTCTTCTTAGGGGAACCCTCCTTAAAAGCCTGCATTTCTTTAGGAAGATACTTCCCACCCCACTGACTGCTCCACTTTTACCTCCAATCCTGGTCATCAGGAGGGTCCACTGATTGAGTGTCTCCTATTTGTATGTGTGTGTGTGTGTGTGCGTGTGTGTGTGTGCGTGCGCGCGTGTGCGTGGCATGCATTGTGCTGTCATGTTAAGAGTCCCAGCGAATGGTATGTGTACCACAGGATTTGTGGCTGTGCACAGAACATTGCTAGGGTGTGGCTCGTGCCTAGCATGCCTCATGTGTGACCTCTGCCTGCAGACGCAGGTATTATCCTCAGACCCCAGAGCAGTATTAGTGATGCAGAGGTTGGAAGGGAGACGTGGAGACTGTGGGCCAGATCCAGGTGTGCGGGCATAGCTGGAGCTAGAATCTGACCTCCAAAGTCGGGGAGCTGTGTTCCCACCCTTGGGGGGCAAGTGTGAAGCAGGCCTCCAGGGGTCTGCCAGAGGCTTGAACTGTTACAGAAGCCCTCTGCCCTCTGGTGGCCTGTGGGCCTGCTGCACATACACACCATACTGTCTGTAAATTAACCTCCAAGGGAGCCTCCTGAGGTCCCCTCAGGCTCCCTTAGTAAGAGAAAAAGAAACTTAAAAAACAAACAAACAAACAAAACCCTTTTTGTTACTGTGCATGCTTCTTGCTGGGCTTAAGCAAGGCCAGCCCACATAGGCATCAACAAGACTGTTTAGCAGACCCCACAGCAGGAGCTAATTCTTATGGTTCTGGAAAGTTCTCCTCCTAGGGCATCTTCACCCAAAGAGGCTCTGGGGAGGAAACTGACAGCTGGCGGAGTCTGGAACCAGTGGTGTGAGGTATAAACACGGGGAGAAGAGGGTAGAGATAGGGTGTTTGGCTCCCATGGCCCTTCAAATCTTCCCCGAGTTGTGTCCACAGTTCAAACCTTCACAGAGTTGGGACCTGGTGTCCAGGGCCCCTGGTTCAGTTGTGTAGAGGGCAGAGGGTAGCAAGGGAAGGGAGAAGTTCAGGGGAGGTTTGAGCTGCTGTGGGCGAGGGTGATAATAGCTCCTTCCCCAGGGTTTCTGAGTCATTAATTTGGGGCTCTTCTGGCGTTTTCTATGTGTGGGGCTTGGGATTAGATGTTTTTCTTTAGCCTGCCCAAACCTACTCAGCCAGAATACTGAGATTTACTATTCCAACCTTGTTTGGCCTGCAGTCTGGTCTGACGGAGAGGCTTTCATCTCATTCCCATGGACTTGTGGACCCCAAGGATCTGGGGTCCTAGTATGTATATTTTATGTAAATATATGTATATTTGTACATAAAATGATATTCTGTTTTTAAATAAACAGATAAAATCTTTTCTGTCTGATTCCTGTCTTGCCCCTTGACCTGGATAAGTCACAAGTGCGATCTCAGTGTCTTCCTTCCTATGCTCCTGGGCAGGGTGAGGACCCAGGTACTTGCAGCTAAGAAGGAACAAATAGCTTTCAAAACCCTTTTAGCCATTTCTGAGTGCCCTCAGGTAGGAGAGTGTGGACGTGACCTCCTTTAGGGGAAGCCAGTGCCTTAATGTGCAAAGTGCTTCGAATTTGACTGTGCTGGAAACTTCCAACAGCTGTGTGGGGTGGACAGCCGTGTAGTCTTCTACAAAGAAACTGAAACTCAGAAGGCAGCTGGTCTGTGTACTCGTTTTCAAAGGTATGGCAACCGAGGCTCAGTGAAGAAACGTGGCTTGACCACGATGACAAAGCCACCAGAGGCATCCTCCATTCTGAGTATATTCTGCCTGGTCCTTGCTCCCCGAATTTGGGTCTCTGGAGATGCCAACCACCTGCTCACACCCCAGGCCCCATTACTCCACCCAAGCGTCCTGACATCACCTCCCTTTGTGACCAATAGATGAAGTCCCAGCAATGATGAGGATGTGAATGTCAGCTACCTCCCCCACCGCAGGCTCTGTGGTTGCAAAGATGCTCTAACAGGAAGCGGGTTTGAGGAGCTGCACAGCTTCCTGCCCCCCTAGAGCTTCACAGTGCGAGAAAGGGCCAGGGCTCAGCTTGGCCACGAGATACAGCTTCATGCCAGGGTTCTGGTAGCTTCCTCTTCCATATCCACTTCCGTGTGGCCCCGAGTGGGCCCCAGAGGCAAGTGCTGCTGTCCGTTGCCCAAGCCACCCTCCACCTCCAGTTTGGAGCCCTGCCCTTCTAGGGCTGGGCCAAACCAAACTACTGACTGGGATTCCATGGGGGACTGGTAGGTCAAAGGTCTTGGGGAACAGAAGTGGTGGGGCCAGATCCTGGGGGCTCTGGCCATGAAGTCTCGGCAGAAAGTAAAGAAGAAGGGCTGCTCCAAGGAACGAGTGTTTGGGTGCGACTTACAGGAGCACCTACAGCACTCAGGACAAGACGGTAAGGAGGCCAACCGAGCAGGGGGCAGCGGAACGGGTGGGCGGACTGGCACGCAGGCACCGAGCTTGTCTTCTCTGGCTTGATTTGATCTGTTGGGAAGAATCAACTCCTAGGGCCCCGTGGCTCAGGATCACCATCCATGAGACCTGTGCCCAGGAAAGACAGGAAATGCGGCTCAGAGGAGGCAGAGAGGTTCGCTTCTGTAATAGTTGTGGGGCAGGTCTCTGAGAGGGTGAGGATAAGAACTCCAAGGGGATGCGAAGTGGGGGATGGTGATATTTATAAAGTCTAGAGATGCCGACGAATCAGGTGAGGAGACGGAGAGGGGGACAGAGGGTAGGAATGGAGGTCCTATGTCACGAGAGTGGCTGAAGGGATGGTTGATAGAAAAATAAACGGAGGTGGGATTGGGCCCAGTGGGTCTGAGGACATAGCTTGGGGAGAGTGGAGGGAGGCATCCTAGCTGGAGAACAGCACCAAGGGACAAGGACCTGGCCCTTCTGCATCTTTGCTGGGCCGCGGGAGGGTGTGGGGGAAGGAGAGACCGTCTTCTTTAGATTGCTTGCAAAAAAGAAACAGGTTTGGCGTAGAAGGCAAGGGGAGAAGCTGCTGGTGTACGGAACACAGAAAAGTGAAGGAGATGGTTTAAGCCCTGGTTTGAAGCTGGGAGTAGAAGCTGCAATAAAGATAGATGTGGGCACTGTCTGGAGCTGCCTCGGTTCCTTGCCTGGTTCCTTGCCTGGCTTACTACGCGGTGGCCTTGGAAAGCCAGCCTACCCAGGGACAAGCCCTGGCTCAGTGCTCTGCCTAACACGCGCTCAGAACCATGTCTTACTTGATTTGAAATTGAGCTATCTTGACTATACCGGCCAGCTTGTTTTCAGCACACTGAGCAACTTACAAAAAAGGGCATGATTCTGCCCCCCCCACTCCACCCCACCCCAATCTGTCATTTCCTCTTTGTCCCCTTCTCTGGTTGTGGTGCCTGCAGAGAAGGGAGGGCGATGGTGGTTCCCAGCTCATTTCCTGCTCTTAGCCCCGCCCCTGTGTCCCCAGACACCTCCTTCCCCTTTTCTCCTCCATCAGAGGGCCCCATCCCTACCAGCCTCCATTAAGGGAAAGTCCAGGCCCCAAGAAAGAGTGTTTGCAGCCGAGGTGGACTTTTCTGTGCCTTCCTCTTCTCTCTGAGCACACCTGGCTCCTTTACTATTATTCCACTGGCCATAATGATTCTTTAACAAAAAGTATCACACCATTTACTTATATATTTTGTATGCATGTTGGGAAGGGGCAAATTGGTTCCCCCGCAGGTATGGAGGTCAGAGGACAACCTGAGGGAACCAGTTTTCTCCTTCCATCATGTGGGTCCCAGACATCAAACACAAGTCATCAGGCTTGGTGGCAAGTACCTTCATCCACTGCACCACCTCACAGGTTGTATTTCGTTGTTGTTGTTGTTGTTGCTGTTTTTCAAGACAGGGTTTCTCTGTGTAGCCCTGGCTGTTCAGGAACTTGCTCTGTAGACCAGGCTGGCCTCAAACTCAGAGAGATACGACTGCCTCTGCCTTCTGAGTGCTGGGGGTTAAGATTAAAGGTGTGCACCACCACTGCCTGGCAGGCTATATGTATTGGTAGTATTAGTGTCAGTGTGTGTATGTGTGTGTCCACATGCATATGTGGAAGTCAGATAGCAACTTTTGGAAGCCAGTTCTCTCTTACCATCATGTGGGTCCCAGCGTTGAACTGAGGTTTTCGGGCTTGGTGGCAGGTATCTTTTACCTCCTGAGCCATCTCACCAGCACTAAAGGATTTTCTTTTTAATTTTGAGATTTTTTTTAAAAAATTTTTTATAGGCATGAGTTTTGTCTGTGGGTGTGTGTTTCACATGTGTGCAGTGCCTACGGAGGCCAGAAGAGGGCATCAGATTCTCACTGGAACTGGAGTTCCCATCCGTAGCTGCCAAGGGTGCTCTGAAGAACAGTCAATTCTCTTAGCTGAGGAGCCGCCTAGCCAGCACTAGATAACGATTCCCGACAGAGAGCCGTACATCTTCATTGGACTTCATTGGGGATGATGTTCTTGTAGTTCCTGGTAAACCCTCAGTTCAGCCTCCTTATCCTGGTTCAGCCCTTCCCTGTGGTTCCCATCCCCCACAGACAGCCCAGACTCCCCTTCTGGGACTCTCAGGGCCACCATTCCCAGCTGGTAAAGGTTTCTTTCTAGAGATCCAGGGATAATGAAAGGCCAGCGGCTCCTGGTTGCAGGTGAATTCAGAGCAGGTGAGAAATTACTTCTGTCCCTTACCAGAACTTCACCTGCGCTGCAGGCTTGAGAGATGACTCTTGGGTCTCTCGGGTATCAGTGAGAACTCCTCCCCTAATCCAAAACATCCTGGTACAGAGAGGTGTAAAGTGTTAGGGAAGAGTGAGGCTGGTTGATTGCAGCTTCTCTCGTTAGCTCAAGATCCAGCAAGAAATTGAAGGTCCTGGTAGGCGAGATCCATCTGCTTCTGGTGTACTGATTCTCCCAGGTCATCTTAGTTTTCTCTACTCTTACACCCTTGCTTGACTTTAGACCTCTTCCCTAACTCTTCTCCCCTAAATGGATCTTTCCCTGTCCCTGAGCCCTGCATACACTCTGATAACTTGCTTGTGTTTCTGATTCACTGTCGGTGCTTCTTTGACTCCACCCACACCCTCCGCATCATGTTGACTCCATCACCCCAGTCTTGTCTCTAGATTCCATCGTCTTGTCTCTGACTTCATTTTTCTGATGTCTATCTGCAGCTCCACCAACTCTCTGACCCTGTTATCTTTAGAACCATTTCCCTTATGACTCAGGCTCCTTAAGACCTTCCATCTCTGTAAAGACTACTCCAGAGGTTCAAAATCAACTGAGAAGAATAGGGCAGGAAAACCTGGTTTAGATGAAACCTAGGAATTTAGAGGAGAGAGGGAGATTGATGTTTGAGGTGCAGTCTCGCTATGTAGCTGGGATTACAAGTGCGCACTAACCAGACCCAGCCGGCAGCCTATTTGTGAGTCATCAGAGCAATATGGTGGCCAAAAGAATGGATGCAGCATTTGGCACCCAACGGCGGAGCAGCAGCTTCAACAAGCAGGGCAGCCTCATCTCTTCATTTAGTGCCGAGAACTAAGGACAGGGGACCACGGAAAAGCGAGAGCAGGACCCGAAGGCATGAACAGTGGCTAGGCTGGAGTGAGGTGAGAAAGGTGACAAGAGCCCAAATTTTAGGAACCACTCACTCCAGAGACATTGTGCAAATGTCCTGGGTCCCTCATTCTAAGGATTAACACACACACAACCCTGAAAGCAAAGACTTCCTTAAATTTTTTTTTAATCCTCCATGCTTTTCTTGTTTCACCCAAGTTCCGGGTATGAGCAAAAAGACAAAGGATCTGAAAAGCAGGTCACAGGAAGAAAGATGAAAACCAGTGATCGGTGGGATTATTATCTAGAACCTTCACCCTGGTTTTCTGTCATATTTGTTCCACAAAAAGCTTGGGAAGACAGCTGGCTCTCTGTGCGTTTGAGGTTAGCCTGGTCCACAGAGTGAGTTCCAGGACGGTCAGGACTGTTAAACAAAGAAACCCCCATCTCGAAAAATGAAACAAACACAAACCTCAAACAAAAAGCTTGGGTTGACTCTGAGAGGCAACACAACAAACAAATAAATGACTGAGGAACTGAATTGAATGGAAATTAAGAAGAGTAGGACCCAGAGCTGCACGTCAGATAGTTCTATGTGGCTGCTAGGGGTGGGCCGTAAACTGCGTAGTAGTTAAAGTCATATGAAACTCACAAGCCTTTTAGGGAACAAAAATTTAGGTAGCTGAGAAGAAGCACAACTTTCCCCGATACTGATAAACGCAAGGAACTTCTCTGGTGACTTCCAGTCAACAGGACTCAGTG